CATCATCATCATCATCATCATCATCATCATCATCATCATCATCATCATCATCAACACCGACTAAACAATTCCCCTTTTTTTTTGTTTCGTTTTTCTAGAAAACCTAACAATTTGTACCTTGTCAATACATTTTTTCATAACCTACTAATTATGTCGGCATCAAACTCAGGACACGGAATTAAAAAAGAAAAAAGAAAGAAAAAAAACCCCATTCCCTTCTGGGGTCCAAAATGGAGCTGATCTCAGACTTAGGACTGCCGTAAGGCGAATTCAAAAGGGTTTTTGTTTTCTTTTGAAAGTTTGTTGTTGTTGGGTGTTTTTGTTTCTTTGTTAGCTTTCTTTCTGTTGCTGATTTTATGCAAGGGTAAACTAAACGAAATACCATGGAAGTAAGACGATGAAGACCGAGTGCTATAGTAAAACAAACACACGGGTCGCCACCACTTGAAGAACGAGGGACGCTTCTGTCATAAGTTCACATCAACGTCCATTGTTACTTTGTTACAGATTAGGTAAACAAAACAGTGACCAGTCACCTCACACACGATTTGTTCATGGGTTGTGGGCGGGGCTTATAGGTTAAGAAGAATCACACACTTCCCTCATCAGCAGTATAGAAAATTTATTGTCAGGCCTACCGATTGGTTAACTTGAGTAAACATTCATTGGAGGGACTGACAATAACGACGGGTGAATGAATTATGACGGCCCGTCCACAGCGTCAGGGCCCGATTCAAAATTTTTAACAAAGCGTCCGGTGATGAGTTTTTTCTGGGGAATGGTTATGCTCACATTTTTTAAAATTTAAGTCTAATACTAGATCTTGTGTATTGACCCTAAAACTTATTTCTCTTCTACGAAATAAATAAGTAAAAACATTGGAGAACACAAAAAAAAAAGAATTACAAAGTTCTATCTGAGGCAGGTGCATTAAATATTTGACCGTGGGTTGATAAAATAAGGCGCGCGGCCACGTTGGACAGGTCGCCGTTTTACACAGTTACGTAACATAGGAAAAACTCAAAGGTGGGGGGGGTGGAAAGTTGCCATTTGTACAGGTTGCCGTATTATACAGGTGTCCGTCGTGGCAGGTTTGACTGTACATGAATTTGTAAATCTACTTGTATTATTTTTACTTCCTCAACCTAGAACAAAATCAAAATGGATTTACAAGGACAGGTAACAGAATATAAACATTCTCATTTTTTTCTACCAGTGGACGAGAGTTCAGCTACCCTCCCTTCATGTTCCGTGATTGCTCCCAGTTCCCAGTTGTTAGGTCAGTTCACGTCCACAATCTGCAAATGCTTTCATTTACATTGTTGTTTTTTAAATAAATGTTTTACGGCACTTACAACTGTATAAGGTAATATAAGCGCGTGGGACACATTAACATTCAGTTGGTAGGAAATTTTGAATTTTGCCCGGGTGGGATCCAAAGCCTAGATTCTAGTCTTATCGATTTTAAACCACCAAGGGATCTTTGACGTTCACAACTTCCTCACGGGACCTCCGAGATGTTTTGCCCTTGTCCGAGAAGGCTAGGTGTAGATCTTTCCTACCATAAGGTCATGTGTCTGGCTGAAAGACTGCAGTAAGGAGGAGTTAAGGAGTAGCAGTGGAAAGGCTGCAGAAAGAGTCAGGAGCCCAGAGGAGGGGGCAAAGGAGGTGAGAGGGTTGGGGTAGAAAGTGGAGACGAAAGCAGACAACAGAATATTGCAAAGGAGCAGGAAAAGATGTGAAAGGAGACAATCTTAGACCAAAAAAAATTGGTCGATCACTACCTGGATTCGAACCTGTGACTTTTGAAAGAGAGGTGAACACCTTATCCTGTAGACCACGAGAGCCGCCCTTGATGTTTTGTGGTTGTCCCGGATGGTGAGTTGTTGTGTCAGTTCACGTCCACATTAAGCATGGGCTTTCATTTGTCAATTCCAGGCAAGGCAAATAAGAAATAAAGTCAATTTGTGGATGACAAACAAGAAATAATGTCAATTCCATACATGGCAGAAATTAAATAATGTCAACTCCACGAGCATGACATACTATGAATAATGTCAATTCCATACATGACAGACCATAAATAATGTCAATTCCACACACACGACAAACAATAAATAATGTCAATTCCATGCATGGCAAACAATAAAAAATGTCAATTCCACGAACATGACAGACTATAAATAATGTCAATTCCATACCCATGACAAACAATAAATAATGTCAATTCCATACCCACGACAAACAATAAATAATGTCAATTCAATACACACAACAAACAATAGATAATGTTAATTCCATACACACAACAAACAATAAATAATGTCAATTCCATACACACAACAAACAATAAATAATGTCAATTCCATGCACGGAGGACAAACAATAAATAATGCCAATTCCATGTACATGACAAATAATAAATAATGTAAATTCCATGCACATGACAAATAATACATAATCAGGGGCGAAGCGTCTATATAATCAAATAATCACTGCTTCCCTTCCTAATTTTGAAACATTGTCGCTGTTAAATTCATCCTTAAACGTAAACCTCTTTAATTAAATGTAAAAAGACGTTCGTAATCAACAATGAACAGTATGCCTAACATTCAAAACGGTTTCACGGCC